GATGTATTTCTTGCCAAGTTAAAGAGGGAAATATGTGAGAAGGATAGTAAGGAATGTAAGGTGGTGAAGGAGTATGCATGAGGATAGAATGAAGGGGGGAGGAGAGAATGGTTGAAGGAGAGGCTTGTTTTATAAGTTTTGTAGCATTCAGGCATGATCTTAATGGTTCAATGTGAAGGTTAGTACTAGTACTAGTACTTCTTTTGTTAGTAATACATAAAGGAAGAGATTGCTGATGGTAAATTGGTTGAAGGTTTCTATCCAATAGGGAGGAGGGTTGTTATCAAAAACTCTGGTAATGAGTTTGGCATGTCTTATTCTTAATTCTAATTTGATATTGGGGAGAGAGATGCCACCCTGTTTAGTATTAGTAGGAAGTGTAGCAATCTCGAAATGAGGATAAATCTTAGAGTTATTCCATATTAATATAAAATTATTAATGGTAGATTGAAGGGAATTTATAATATTAGGAGGAGGACAGATAGTAGCATAGTACTATCATCTCTGCAGAGGCAAGGAAAGCCTGTTTTTGCAAACAATGTCTTGTCAAGATGCTCATTAATGATACAGCTGGCCATGGCAGAAGCTCTCAGAGACAAAGACATGAATAACATTAACTTTCTCACTATTACTATTGCAGAAAGCATTCATGTGAAGCTATCATCATACCTGAAGCCAGTTCTTTGTGTGATTCTCACACAAGCAAGGGTGAGAGCAAATAAAAATGTACCAGGCACTGACATAAACCAGAAGACTTTTCCAAATTGGGTCTTATCAGATTTGATAATGCCAAGGGTTTAAGAGACTGGGGATGCCTTACTTGTTCATACATATGTTGGGCACATTCATCTGATGATCCCATACTATGGCTGGAATTTTAAATATTACCAGGAAGCTCAAAACAGTGAAGATCCAACAATTCCTCCCAGCTGTCAGTTCTGGCAGCATTTTGAGGAATTTGTGGGCTGAATCCATGTTTTTAAATCTCAGGTCTTTGATCAAAATCAACACATCAGTTTGGAGGACATTCATAAATACCAGATTTTTGATAACACAAGGGATTTTGTAATAAGAACTCTACCTTTAAGAGAGATTTTGGGAAGACAAGGAGGAAGTTTGAGATTTGATTTTTTGATTAAGGGAATTCCATAAAAAGTCAGTGTTTGAAGGATCAATTGGAAGGGAAAAGCCTAGAATGTTTAGCTGAGAGGAGATAGGAGGAGAATTATGTGGAAGGTGGAGTGAAGAGGATGGAGAAATGAGAAAAAGAGAAGACTTTTGTGTGTTGATGAAACCACCTGTGGCAAGATTGTAGAGAGGGAAGATAGAGTCTAAAAGAAGGTGTAAGTCAGAAAGAGAGCAACCTATGATGGTTGTATCATCAGCATAGGCACGAACAAAGAGAGAAGGTATAGAATGTATTAGTATTAGGTTAAAGAGAGGTTCAATGGATAGATTGAATAAAAGAGTCCCTTGAGGGACACTTTGAAGAACAGGAAAAGGAGGGGAAATGGATGAATTAATTTTGATGCAGGTTATGTGGTTATGATATGAACAGTGTGTTAGATTAATAAATGATTGAGGAAAAAGGGACAAAGATAAGACATGGTCTATATCTAGCCATGAATTCTATTACCAATATCCTCCTTTTCGTTAGCTGCACACAGCCATCACTTTAAACATTTGGAGCAATTAAGCTTTGTAAATCGATCTAACCATATAAATGTTAAACATGTGCATTCGAGTGTTTATTTCTATTATAAGCCATTACCATGTTACGTAATAATTATAAACCGTGTGTCAGCTATATCACGTTGCTATCACTAGCTGTATCTAATATAGTTCAAGTTTGTATCCAAAATAATATAGAAAGAGGTCACAACAAAACATAATACATCGAATTAAAACATGTGAAAATATTAAAACTCTATTTACTTACACAAGTTATGTACTCATGCTGGCTATATACAAGAAATTTTTATCCGTACGTCACAGCTTATGTCTAAAGTGACATTTTTCTAAAAGTGGAAAGTGGGTGGTTTGACAAGCATGTCGTGAACCCACTTTGGCTGTTTGTGAACATGGAATGGACAGTCTAAAAGACCACAAGAGTTAGCCGTCCATCCCAGATAAGTACGCGTTCGTATGTTGAAAACCATGGGACTCGGACTGCATTGCATAGTAAAGAATATCAGTTGGTTAGTTTTGTTAAATAAGATCAGGCACAGAGACTACGTCGAATGGTCACAACATTACCTGTCAGGTATTGTGTCTCGTTTCTGAATCGACCGTTCTCCTGTCGTTCTGTCTGTGTCATCCAAATTTCCAAGGCGTACATTATTATCAGTAATATAACTGCCAATAATGCTTCTATCATCACGAACATTTCCGGCTTCTTCTGTAATGGCTTCGTCCGCTAATGGTTGCTTTCTCGTGTATTCTGGCGGTGGTAGATTTACGGTCTCGTTATCCTGACCTGTGCCATCAATTATATCTGGAGCATTATTAAAGCTCACCCTATTATCATATCAAACAGAGAGATTTGTTAACAAATTCTATGTGTATCTGTCTGTCAAGGTCTATTGTTCACCGTAATCATTAGCAACACGCATTTTGTTCCAGAGCGGTCTTGATACGATCATATCATGTACGTGTATTACTTTTAACCGCAATTGCCTGTGCATGATGATTTGTACCTTCTAGCCGGTCTTCTCGTATTCGCAGCAGCACTCAATGACGTTTTCTTTATTATTCGCACAGAAGCTCTCAGGCTGCAATATGCGATACGTATACCAATAAAAAGAATGCCATAATAATAACTCAATAAGTATTACCAAATAATATGACATTACTGTTTGACATTGTATCATCTATTTGCCGCGGATTAAATTCTTACCTTTCTCGATATTCTTCATCCACGTCCATTGGTGACAATCCATCGCTCGACCCATCGAATTCGTCCACGTTCTTCACAGGAGTGTTATCAAGTATAGTTAACGTTACTGCTGATATAGGTGATTCTACGAGAGGCTCAGCCTCTCCCATCTCGACGTCTGAATCCTCTCCATGGAGAACAGGCTGATCAGACTGCTTTTCAATGTCAGGTGAACACTCCGCATAGATTTCGATTTTCGATCTTCGTCTAATTATCTCCAATAATTCTGTTCTTTGCGCTTGTAATTCAGCCCGCATTATCGATTCTGCATCGCCATATTCAGACAATCTTTGTAGATGGGAGACATTGAGAAAGAAGTCATGAGCTCGGTGTCGCGGTCCAGACTTTGGTATAGTTATAAATCTGGCTGCTGTTCTCATTATTCCGACGTCTCGTTTGTCGGTCTATACAATATTAGAGTAGGAATTAGGTGGCTTGCGTACACAGTTAAGGGCTAAATACAATAAATTTGGATGATAAAACAATTATTTATTGTTACTTTGTTTAAATTTTGTTACATTTGAAGAGAATTAGATAAAACACTAACTGCTTGTCTGATCAGGTAATCTCGTAGAAACCGCTCTGCAACCGGATATTTGAAGGACGGTTCTTCGTTTGCTGATTGAACTTTATAGTTATCTTGAGCGAATCTATTGAACATTAGTCGACGGACGCGTTATCGTAGCATTGACAGTTAGAAACTATCCCATTTGCATTACTACAATTCAACACGAGATCTCAGGATTCTGACTTCAACAAACCTTCCTTTACTTCACGGTCTCCAACATACCTTTCAGCTCGCCTCCTGCGTTTTTTCAACTCTTCGTCGTCAATGTCGGTCGACCTTCCGACCAAATCATCGTGGTTGGACGCATTCCACGCTTCTCTTCCACGTCCTCTACCACGACTGCTTCCTCTCCCGCGGGGTCGACCTCTCGGCGCTTGGTTTACTATACATCCTCGTTTACTTCCGCGAACCATACCAAGCTTATTGGTGAACTGTAATGAGACGCGTGTTACACTTATCGATTATCTTTGGGTTTGCCGATCATTAATTATGTCTATTATAATCAAAATATTACTTGATTATATTAGCCTTAGCGGTAAAACAAGCCCTCAAGTCGAGACAGCGTATGCATAAGGAATTTTCACTTGTTCAGTCATAACATTGATTGCTTTCGTTATTATTATTGTTATTACTCTGAACTTGAAAAAAAATGGTAAGTCATGTGACAATCAAGCAGTGTAACACAAAACATGACCTCTTCCTTGGGGATATCGATATATTAAAACGAAATTTTGGTGTCTTTTGGGTTTCCTTTTAATGCCTTGAAACCCACATATACTGGGGGTACGATATCCATAGTAATACAAACATAGGGGAAGTCACATATGTTTCTGTGGGACAGGATTGGGTCCTTTGGTACTAGTAGAAGGCAAATTAAATCGCTTTGGATATATACAAATTT